GCTTTTGTGCCCAACAGAACAAAACTCAAAATTGTCCTAAAGACGACGTCTTCTTTTTTCGAACGAATGCCTGGCATCGTCCCACGCACACAAAGGCACACAGAGATACTACTACAGTTACAGGCACTCTCACACACACTCTGCATAACTGCTTCCTTATACGTGTAGCTGGCTCTTGACTCGTGCTCTGTTCGGTAGACAGATGTCCTTTGGTAGGCGTCTCTGTGCGACGAGTGTTGGTATTCGATTTTTTTGCATTGCAGCATTTCCTTGCTTTCGGCACTTCACAGAGCAACGAAAGGACGTTCGAACACAACAACAATGTGGATGGCTTTGTGGCTCAACAATTTTTTTGGCGCAAAATGGATTTTGAATTAAAGGCAAGTCAAAGGCTTTTTTTCAAAAGGACTTTCAAAAAAGGAAATAAAAATTCAAGCCTTTCTTTTTTAAATTTGGTGACAGCTTCCATAAAACAGCTGTCAACTTCAGAAACAAACAAACAAAAAAATCCTTCGAAATTCTTTCCCCTCGTATCAACAATAAAATTCACCTGCAACAACCGCCTATTTTCCATATCACTTCGATTTCCATCAATTTCTTACCCTTTTGTTAACAAGGAGTTAGGATTTTTTGTTTTGGTTCTATGTCAGCACCTGTTCCCCACACTCCTCCACTCAAAAATGTATGCAGTCCCATAAAATTGTTTGGTCCCTTGTTTACTCCTGTTTGTTTCCATATGTTCTCCTTTTTTAACTATTCGGCTACCACTTCGACTACTCCTGCTGTCGACTGTCGCAGCTACTATTTTGCATAATTTAGTTCTGCTTAAGTGCTATCCTGATCGACAGGACATTCTTCATTTACATAATTTTTCTGCTTGTTTTTCTTGTTGTTGTTGTTTTTTTTTTGTAATGTGACAGCCAACGTTTTGTCGAAGAAAATATCCTCCAGGATGTGGGTGTAACGGAATTTTGTAGCGTAAACGATACAGGTGTCGTGAGTTGCTGTTTTTTTGTTTTATTTTTTATAGTTTAAGGATAAAAAAGGATATCCCTAAAGAGGGAATAAAATGTAACGTACATTTAACAAATTTTTAATTCTAATAGATTTTTATAAAAAAAGAATTAAAACATTTGGAATAACTTAAAAAAAAACAAATATTTTTCTATAGAAAATCCGAATCCAAAAATCCGAAGATAACTGAGGAAGGTCAATGAGACTTTTGTCCAAAAAAAAAAAAAAAAAAAAAAAAAAATCCAAAGTTAAATGAGGACACTTTTTTCTACCGAAAAAGGCCGAAGGCCGTTGGGGACATTTTTTTCCATAAAAGAAAAAATTCCGAATGTTACTGAGGGCACTGTTTTTCTATAGAAAAACAATTTAAAGGTCCCTGAGTACACTTTTTCTATAAAAAATTTGTTAAGATTCCTTTTTCTATAGAAAATATTCCGAAGGTCAGTTAGAACAATTGAAAAAAAATCCGAAGGTCCCGTAGGACTCTTTTTCTACAGAAAAAAATTCCCAAGTTCACCGGAGACATTTTTTTTCTATAGAAAACAATCCGAGGGTCCAATTGAACAATTGAAAAAACAAAAAAAAAAAAATCCGAAGGTCCCGTAGGACTCTTTTTCTACAGAAAAAAATTCAAAAGTCACCGAAGACACTTTTTTCTACAGAAAACAATCAGAGGGTCCCTGACGACACATTTTTTTATAGAAAAAAGTTGCCTTAGGAACTGTCGGAATTTTTTTCTTTAGAAAAAAGTGCCCTCAGGTATTGTTTTCCATAGAAAAAAATGTCTTCAGCGACCTGTTGAAATTTTTTTTTCTATAAAAAAATGTCCTCGGGCACCTGACGGAATTTTAATCTACATAAAAAATGTCCTCAAGGACCTGTCGGATTTTTTTTTCTACGGAAAAAAATGTCTTCAGGGACCTTCGGAATTTTTTTAAGTGCCTTCAGGGACCTGTCGGATTTTTTCTATACAAAAAATGTCCTCAGGAACCTGCCAGATTTTTTCTATAAAAAAAGAGTACTCACGGACTTTTTGAATTTTTTTTGCTATAGTGTCCACAGCGGACTTCGAATTTTTTTTGTAGAAAAAATAAAAACCAGTAAGGAAAGTAGTAAAGTCGGACGGGGCCGACTACATGATACCCTTCACCACTTTGGGTACATTCAACAGATGAATCCTAAAAGACATCGCATTTTTAAAGGACCAGTAAAATTAAATTGGATCCATAAATATGTCATTCTGCAACCGATACTAAATTTTTCATTTGGTCAGATATAGAAGCTATATCTAAATCACATCATTCTAAACTTAAAAGATAAATATGGACTTCGGTGCACCATTTACCATAAATCGGACGAAAATATATATGGGAGCAATATACAAATCTGAACCGATTTTCACGAAACTTAGCACACATCATTCTAGACTCAATTCAGTACGCTATGCCAAATTTCGTGCAAATCGAAAGATATTCAGGGACTTTGGTACACCATTTACATTAAATCGGACGAAAATATATAGGGAACTATATCTAAATCTGAATTGATTTTCACGAAACATAGCACACATTATTCTACTCTAAATTCAGTGCGCTGTGCCAAATTTCGTGCAAATCGAAAGATATTTAAGGACTTTGGTGTACCATTTACCTTAAATCGGACGAAACTATATATGGGAGCTATATCTAAATCTGAACCGATTTTCACAAAACTTAACACACATCATTCTAGACCTAATTCATTACGCTGTGCCAAATTTCGTGCAAATCGAAAGATATATAGAGACTTTGGTGCACCATTTACATTAAATCGGACGAAAATATATATGGGAGCTATATCTAAATCTGAACCGATTTTTCCCAATTTCAATAGGGTTCGCCCTTGGACCAAATAAGTGACCTATACCAAATTTCATCCAATTCGGTTTATAAATGCGACCTGTATTTTGTTTACAATTTTACATCGACAGACGGACGGACGGACGGACGGACATGCATAAATCGACTCAGAAAGTGATTCTATGCATATTCTCAAAAGGAACCATGTGTCTATCTCGTTTCCTTTTGCCTGTTACAAACATATGCACAAAGACATAATACCCTGTACCACAGAGTGGTGAAGGGTATAAAAAAACAGACCAACTATTTTAAAATAAAAAACCGATAATATTAAAAAAAAATCCAACCAATTTTTATTGAAAGAAAAAAATCTAAAAGTTTTTTTAAAGAAAAAAATACCCACTTTTTTAAAGAAAAAAAATCGACCAATTTTTTAAGAAACAAATTCCGACCAATTTTTTTTTCAGTATAAAAAATTGCAGACCCTTTTTAAAAAAAATCCGACCAATTAAAAAAAAAATCAGTCCAATTTTTTAAGACAAAAATCCAAAAATTGAAAAACTTTAACCATTTTTTAAAAAAATCAGACCAACTATTTTAAATAAAAAAGCTGATAATTCTAAAAGTTTCTTTTTTTTTTAATAAAAAATATACACTTTTTTATAGAAAAAAATTGACCAATTTTATTAAGAAATAAATTCCGACCCAATTTTTTCCTGAATACAAAAAGGTACAGATTAATTAAAAAACAAAATCGACAAATTAAAATAATCAGACCAATTTTTATAGAAAACAAATCTAATTACTTTTGATACGAAGGATCAATTCGACCAATAAAAAAATTTAACCAATTTAATCCGACCCATTTTTTGAAAAGATAAAAAATTCCGACAAGTTTTTTAAAGATAAAATTCTAACAATTAATAAAAATCAGACCAAGTTTTTTTTAAATCCCTCCAATTTTTTTAGAAAAAAAATTTAACCCTTTTTTTATAGTACAAAATTCAATTAAATTATTTAAGAAAAAAATCCGACCAATTTTTTTATTTTGAAAGTGGGAAAGGTGTATTGTTTGTAAATGCCTTGTTAACCTCGAAGTGAGGCTCCAACGAAATTCTCATGCAGTTTATGTCGTTGGTCAGCTAAGTACTTCGCTTTGTTACAAGAGACATTTGGGTATTAAAAGTTTTTTTGTATAGAAGCAATAGCTTCTGGGGAGAATATCCCAACAAAAAACTAAGGGAACTGATGAGGATCAGTGGCGAGATCCGAAACTATAGTCTTCCCTGCCTTAACCCCTCGGCGGACAATGCCATACATTCCCCACTAATAAATAGTTGTTTTTTATAAAAACAACAAACTATTCAGCCACTATTTTGCAAAAACAAAATACAAATGGTATCCCAAATAAACCGCCAACACTACTGATTTTGAAAAAAATCCTTTTTTTTATCAGAACAACTTTTTAAAAGAAAAATTTCGTCCTATTTATTTTAAGAAAAAAATTAATCAATTTGGAAAAAAATATTCCGATCAATTTTTTGTTTTGGAAAAATGCCCATACCCTTAGTTTTTAAATAATAATTCAAATTTATTTAATTTTCTTGTTTTTTTAATTATTTTATTTTATAAAAAATAACAAAAAAATGTGTTTCGATTTTGGTTTTGAAAAATTTCAGTTACATTATTTTGAATGAATGCAATTTTGAAAATTTCAATACAAAGTGTGTGTGTGTGGGTGTAGGTATTTTTGTAAGGCAATAAAAAAACAAAGCTCTTAATCTTTCTTTCAAATGGTAGACATAATTTTTGAATATAAACAAAATAAAAAAATATTTAATACAAAAAAATTACAAAAAAAAATTATAATATTTAATAATAATAATATCTAATAAATAAATTGTAGCGCTTTGGAAGCATCCTGCGTCATGTACAAACTACTCTCTTTACATTTTCAAATCTCTCTCAAAAATTTCATTTAAAATTTTTCTCTTTCAGATTTAATTTCAATTTTTTTCCTGTCATACATTTTTAATTCTCATTTATCTGATTTTCCTTTTTCACATTTTTCTCTTTCATATGTTTTCCTTATTTTATAATTTGTATTATTCTCTTTTCTCATATTTTCCTCTCTCAATTTCTCTCTCTTCAATTTTCATTTAATTTATTTAACGAAAAACTCAATCTCCTCTTGGTGGCATCCAGGGTTTTGTTATCCGCCTCCAAGGTGCTATCTTCATTCTCCCCCTCCTCCTCATATTCACTTGACGAATTATGGCCACTATCGGGACTAACATTCCGCATCATTTTCTGTGGATGGACTTCATCATGTATCAGTTCGGCTTCAAAAACCTTTCTCAGATTGTGGGAATGCAGCAGAGGTGTCTGGGGATGATGGAGACCAGATTTACCTAATAGCTTATGGGCGGAATTTATGACACTGGCCTTAAATTGTTCCAGTTTCCGCTTACGTCTTACACCCCTTTGTCTCCTCAAGAGGCCCGAGAGTTGTTGTTGTTGAGGTTCTTGGAAGGGTTGGATTTCTTGTGGGGCTGGAGTTTCTTGGCAGGCAGGTTCTGGTGAACAAATTTCCCTTTCATTGAAGAGACATTTTTTGGTCAACTTTGAACGGAATTGTTGTTCCTTTTGTCGGTAGCGAGCCTTCTCAGAATCCCATACCTCTTGCAAATCACTGGCCGGATCATCGGCAGGGGTATAGGAGGGTGACATATTTGTTGCATGATGTTTGTGTTGTTTTTGTTGTTTCCTTTCCTGTTTCCGATTACTTTCTAAAATGGCATCGATCATGCGCTCCAGCGTGGTATCACCCATTTTGGAGGAGCTTAGGGAAGATTCTTCCAAATAATGGGGATATTTGAAGTTAAGAGATTTCGGTTTGAGGAAGGTTTTCGTTTCCAGAGATTTTTCATTGAGTAGGTGGTGAGGGGCAGGTGTGGCGGTGGTGGTGGTAATTGGTGCGGTGGGAGTTTGTGGTTTGGCCTGTGTCTGAGGTGTAATATATCGAGGCTTTTCAAAATAGGAATCGGGTATACCCACCCCACGCAAAGCCAATATCGGTCCTGGTATCAGTGAACAGGGAGAATATTCCACATCAAAGGTAGGCAGGGTGGAGGCATAATTCGCTGGCATGGCAGATCTTAGAGGTTGACTTTGAGGTTCGGGTGTTTTCAAAAGGCTGGGGGAACTTTTGTGTAGTGACAACCTCTTGGGCGAGTGGAAGGCCAAAGGTTCTGCCAAAATGTTACTCAAATCCTTAAGGCTATCCAATTTCCGTGAGGGGCTATCATTGAAGCTACGCGAGGTAGGGTGCAAAGGTGTGCTGGTATATTGATTCTCCTTGTCATGCCATGAAGTGCGTGACCTGAGGGAGCCAACATCTGAGGATTTGCGTTTGAGACGTCTTCTCTGGGCTTGTGAGAGCCCTGAATTTGGTTCCATCATCATTGGTTCCAGGTTCAAGTGTTCCGTGCTTTGCATATATGTGTGGCGTGGCCCGTTTACCGCCCATTTCAACATTTTGAAGCTGAAGAGAAAAATATAAAGAAAAGGTGGAGGTTAATAAAAAAATTCCGGTTTTTAAATTTTTCAGATTTTTTTGTATTTTTTTTTTTTTTTTGAAAAAGTTAAAAATCCTCAAAAGGCTTTTTTGTCTGCCTGGCTATTTTAAGATTTTTGTGTTGAGTGTCTGCCTCATGTTTGGCATACAAAATCAGCCAAAGCCAAACGAGTTTTATGTGAATCCGCAAAAATAAAATTTAGCGCGCAAAATCAACTTCTTCTTCTATTCGGCATTTTTTTCTTCTTCATTTGTGTGGCTGTGTGTCTACCCTTTGTGTTGTTGTTTTTCTTTTAAATTGAAAGAAGAACCCCAGGTCGTAAGCCTAATAATTGGGCGGATTCAATGCAGCCAAACAGCAACAAGCTTTTTAAGCTTTGCAAAAGACCAAAAACAACAACAAAATACCAAAACACGACAAAAATCCTAAAGCAACAAAAAATTCCTGCTGAGTTGGCAAAAAATACAGAAATTCTTAAAATTTCAATTCTTTTCGGGTTTCATGCAAGATTAACTACCCCACAGTGGGTCGAAGGAAATCCGAAGGGCGGAGAAGCAACAGGATTTTTTTTTACTTTTTTTTTAATTTTTGGAGGAAGGGGGAGATTTTTTGAAAAAAAAAAATTGGAATCAAATTTTTACATTTTTTTTTTATATTTTTTTTTTTTTAATTTTTGTTAATATTTTCTTTAGTATTTTTAAATTTTTTTATATATTTGATGAGTACATTTTTTTAAAAATAAATTTAATTTTTTTTTAATATTCATTTTTTTTAATTTTTTAAATAATATATTTTTTTAATTTTTTTTATTTAAAAAAATGTTTATTTTTAAAATATTTTTTTTAAACATTTTTATATATTTTTTTTATTTTCCAAATTTTTTAAATATTTTTTCCAAGTTTTTTAAATATATTTTTTTTATAATTTTTGTCTATTTGATGGGAGATTTTTTCTAAAGAAAAGTTTTCATATTTTTTATTTATAAAAATTTTTATATAAAAAATATTTCTAATTTTTTTTAATTTTTAATTAATTGGAAGGAGAATTCCTTTAAAAAAGTTTGGAATATTTTTTGAATATATATTTTTTTAATTTTTTTTAAATATTTAAAAAAATATTTATTTTTAAAATATTTTTTTTAACATTTTTATATATTTTTTCCAAATTTAATTTTTTTAAATATTTAAAAAAATATTCATTTTTAAAATATTTTTTTTAACATTTTTATATATTTTTTCCAAATTTTTTAAATATTTTTTTCAAATTTTTTAAATATATATTTTTTTTATAATTTTTGTCTATTTGATGGGAGATTTTTTCTAAAGAAAAGTTTTCATATTTTTTATTTATAAAAATTTTTATATAAAAATATTTTTAATTTTTAATTTTTTTTAATTTTTATTTAATTGGAAGGAGAATTCTTTTAAAAAAGTTTGGAATATTTTTTGAAGAATTTTAAATTTTTTGTTTGAGTTCAAAAAAAGCTGCAATTTTTTTTTTGCTTCAATTTTTGCATATTTGTTTTTGAGATTCTTAAAAAAGGCCTTGCCAAATTTATTCTTAATGGTGGTTGATATCCTTTTAAATAAGTGGACGATAAGAGGTACTTGAAACAAATTATTTTTTTTTTGGGCATTTACAGTCCTCACGCAAAATAAAAAAGCCCTACCAAAAGTGGTTATTTAAATGGCCGATCACTCACACCTAAGTTGCAAATCATTCAATCATCTACAAATGCTACAGGGTACTACCAAAAAATAACTTACCTTTTTTAATTGCGAATTTTCGTATATCCAAAAACAAAATCGTTATCCAAGAACGAGGTAATCCAAAAGGTGATCAGCAGAGGATTGTGAGAGTCATTTATAATTTGTTTTAATTTTCAATATTTTTTAAACGATTTTTGTAAAATGATTTTTCTTTAAAAAAAATGTTCGGTTGTGATTTTAAAATTTTTTTATTTTCAATTTTTTTATCAACACTTTTTTTAATTATTGTCAATTTTCGCATTCAATGTTCATTGGTAATTTTTTTCTTTGATTTTTTTAATCGGCAGATTTTTTAATTTTTTTTTTTGTTGTGATTCACTTCGAAAATTTTCTTTGATTTTTTTTTTTAAATAATCAACAGTTTATTTTAATTTTTAAAAAATTTTAATTTATTCACATATTTTTTCTAATTTCCTTTAAAAAAATATTTCCAAATCTTTTTTTCCGCCTTGCACGACCTCACTTCATCACAATCGTCGAACTACTGAGACTACAAGAGACGTGTTTACGATTCAAGGTTTGAAACGGAAATACAATACTCTTACAAATCCACCCTGGGCTTTTATATGAAAACCTCTCCCAAATAACACAACAACACGTTAAAGAGCGTAACAAATTGTTGCTAGCCAAGGGAAGAGAAAAAGAGCAAGCAAGGAGCAGATAACACAATACTAAGCCTTGCTCAGTAGGCAATACTACGGTAGTTATAACACAACAACAAGGGAGTTAGTGGTGGTGTTAGGCTTTCTGATGTAAAGAGAAAGAGAGTGTGTTTGCTTGAATTCTCTTTGAATTGGTAAATCTCTTCCATAGCTATAATACGTATATGCAAAGGATTGCATGAATTTTTCTTTTAAATTAGAGCAACGAAGGAATGCAATTGATAGTTTTTTGTTGTTGTTGTTGTTGGACACATCCTTGTCGTAAATGTAACACAGCAACAGTTTGTCCTTGCTAATAAAAACAGGACATCACCCAGGGTGTTATGGGGTGTTACTATGGCTGGATGGGATGGATTGATGGGTGTCTGGGCAGCTAATCAATAACGTTTGATCTTAAAGTGTCACACAAAAAAGGAAATTTGTCGAAGGAAAAAAACTTCGAAAGGAAAAAATTGCCGAAAGAAAAAAATCCGAAACTAGGGCGTCAGCTGAAAATTAATTTAATTTAGAGAGGGGGACCTCATTTTTTTCTAGGTGTAGCATACTGTGAGAAAATAAAATCTGATTGAGGAATTAAACAAAAAAACAAATGTGATTGATAAAAATCAGATTTGATAAAAAATAAATTGTCAAGAGACAATTAGGGTCCTGATAAAAAATTTCTCTGATTTAAAAATATAAATCGGTTAATCGTCCTTTGAAAAAAGTGGCTCTGTAAGTTTTTTTGTCAAATGTAAGGAAAAAAAGTTTGGCGAGAAAGATTGCCTGATAAAAAATAAGATGGGATGGGACAAGGATTACAAATTCTTACAAATTTATAAAAGAAAATATGATATATCCCTGAAGGATGTAATGAGAAAGGATCTCATCCTTACTAAGGTAATTGTAACAAAAAATATAATTTGTCCTGTTATAAAAAAAATATCCTTGTAATATTTTTTGTAAAATAAAAAGAAATGGTGAGAAAGATTGCCTGATAAAAAAAATGAGATGTGGCAAGGATCTCAAACATACTAATTTATTAACAAAAAATTTCGACAGAAGATGTAATGAGCAAGGATCTGTTTCTTTCTAATTTAATTGTGACGAAAAAATATTCACCCTGTCCTAGTATACAAAAATTTCCGTGTAATTTTCTCTAACGAACGAAAATCTGACCCTTACTAATTTTATGGAAAAAATATATGTGTCCTGGAAAAATATCCTTGTAATTATTTTCGCGAGGACAAAGAGTCTACCAAAGCCATTGATTTTTTTTATAAATCCAAGGCGACATTTAAAAAAGACTTTAAATATTTTTTTATTGGAAAACTGACTGTCACAGGACCTCTAAAGCAGATTTTTTATACCCTTCACCACACTGTGGTACAGGGTATTATGTTTTTGTGCATATGTTTGTAACAGGCAAAAGGAAACGAGATAGGCAAATGGTTCCTTTTTAGAATATGCATAGAATCACTTTTTAAGTCGATTTATGCATGTCCGCCCGTCCGTCTGTCGGTCTGTCCATGTATTTTTGTGAACAAAGTACAGGTCGCATTTATGATCCGATTTGGATGAAATTTGGCATAGGTCACTTATTTGGCCCGAGGACGAACCCTATTGAAATTGGGAAAAATTGGCCCAAATTTAGGTATAGCTCCCATATATATTTTCGTCCGATTTAATGTAAATGGTGTACCAATGTCCCTATATATCGTTCGATTTGCACGAAATTTGGCATAACGTTATGAATTATGTCTAGAATGATGTGTGTAAAATTTCTTGAAAATCGGTTCAGATTTAGATATAGGCTCCATATATTAGTTCGGTCGATTTTATGTAAATGGTGTACCAATGTCCCTATATATCATTCGATTTGCACGAAATTTGGCATAGCGTTATGAATTATGTCTAGAATGATGTGTGTAAAATTTTTTGAAAATCGGTTCAGATTTAGATATAGCTCCCATATATATTTTCGTCCGATTTAATGTAAATGGTGTACCAATGCCCCTATATATCATTCGATTTGCACGAAATTTGGCATAGCGTTATGAATTATGTCTAGAATGATGTGTGTAAAATTTTTTGAAAATCGGTTCAGATTTTGATATAGCTCCCATATATATTTTCGTCTGATTTTATGTAAATGGTGCACTAATGTCTCTATATATCCTTCGATTTGAACGAAATTTGACATAGCGTACTAAATTGATACTAGAATGATGTGTGCAAAGTTTCATGAAAATCGGTTCAAATTTCGATATAGCTCCCATATATATTTTCGTCCGATTTTATGTAAATGGTGCACCAATGACCCTATATATCTTTCGAATTGAATTGCGTATATAATAATGTGTGCAAAGTTTCGTGAAAATCGGTTCAAATTTACATATAGCTCCCATATATATTTTCATCCGATTTTAGCTAATTAGTGTACCAAAAACACTGAAAATCATTCGATTTGCACGAAATTTGTCATAGCGTACTGAATTAAGGCTAGAATGACGTGTGCTAAGTTTCGTGAAAATTGGTTCAGTTTTAGA